GTAAAAGGACTTTCAATGGCAAACATGTTGTTGGTCCCCAAGGGTCCTTCAGTGCTGCTAGTAAAGTCGGGAACTCACGATTGTGGGATTGGGCTTCAGGCCCTTCGTAATTGCAATAGTCTTGAACGACGCGGGGAAATACCGAGGGTTTCGCACCTTCTCTCCTTCCCTCCGGTCGTGGGACTACACAAGTCCGGGAGGATTGAGTTGTGTGAATAATTACGAGTGACGCCTAAGGGATCTCTTGTAAGGTTGTCGATGGGACGTTTTCATTAACGCACGTCACAACACTTCACCACCCACTGTACTCGCAATGCCTCCGGAGCTCAACGATTACCTCTAACGCAACGAAACAACAGTATACAAACTAAGTAAAGCAAAGGATAGGAAAACGTCGGGTTTCCTAGGGTTTTCAACAAGTACAATTATGAATTACCGGTCGAATTTCACAACTCTTACGCTTACATCTATAGAATTCAAACAAGCATACTCATGGATCTTCGCATATTTTTACACTATCCTATTTTTACAAAATATCGGATTTTCTGATGGTTTTCAAACAATACATTGGATTTCAAACACTACTTATGAACTCACCAACATTTCATATGTGGACGTTTTTCAAAATACTTGTATTCTCAGGTAACAGATAAGGTGAAGGATGATTTGTACTCTATGACGTTTTGCTGTGGTTTAAGTAGTATCAAACAGTTATTTTTTTTGAGAATGTAATGTTTTGAACAATGTAATGAATGTAAACGCTACCAGTTGTATCATTCCAAATGTTGGTGATGTATAATGTTATGTTTCATGTATATGCATTGTGATGGTATTCAATGAGTCACGATAGCCCTCGGACATTTCCGCCGTCCGGTTCGGGGGTGTGACAATGTTTCATATTGGTCAATCAGGGTGTAGCTGAAGCTCTTAATGAGGATGAAAGTAATCAATCTAATGCAGTCAATGATGGAGGAGTAGTAAATGATGGTGGAGAAGCAGTCAATGATGGAGGAGCAGTAACTCATGGTGGAGAAGCAGTCAATGATGGAGGAGCAGTAAATGATGGTGCAGAAGCAGTCAATGAGGTGCATGTGCAACAAGACTATGATGAGGTGGAACTCACTCCTTTGGAGTTTGATGCATCAGCTAATGGAGAACCTAGTCAGGTTCATGTGCAAGAATAGGAGGCTAGAGAAACACCACTTGCAACCCTGTTGAAGAAAATCAGGAGGAAGAAATCTGAAAGGATTATCAAGTTGAAATTGGGCAAGAAAGCTGGTGGAAATAATGCACCTGGGAATTCAGAAGCTAAACCTGTTACTCTAGAATAACTTTAAGTGTTGGTTTATGTGATATGAACATGGTATGTAGTGTTAAATGATGTGTTTTGGTGTATTGTTGCTGTTTTTATGAAACTGCTATTAACTATACTAGTTTGTATGAAACTATGTTGGTTTATGTGATGTGCATTTTGTATTACTTAAGTTGATTGTTATTTTGAACTTTTTGTTGTGTTAATTTGAAGTTGCATGCATGGCAAGGACTTGTCTGGTTAAACTGCATGGGAAGGGAATATATTTGCATATATAGATAATTTAAAATTATGATTGATTATGTCCTTATATACCACATGTGGTCAGTGGTCCATATACCCATACTTTTCCATATATACCCCTGCACAGAACTCTAAAGACAATCCACTTTTAAATGGACAAAGTGAGTTCCTTATGGCCGACAATGTGGTACCCACACTTTAATTTATAAAAGGAGCACATGCATATTATAAACTTTAGAAAGGTATATCTTAACTAGGATATTCCATATCATTCATTGAATCAACACAAAGTCATTACAATTGTTCCCATGTACTGCATCCCATTACATCTACATTCCATTACATCTACATCCCATTACATCTAACATCCCATACACACACACACACTGATCAAACAAGCATTCAACCAAAAACCTGACTATACGTTACAACTAGGATCTAACCTTGACCATGTACCCATACACCCATACACTTCCCAAAAAATCTAATAACTTTTTAACATCCACCCATACACTTTCCAAAAAAACTGGTTGGAATTATATACCATCAACCATAAACACCTATTTGATCACAATTCAAGTCCATTTCAACCACATGGCAATGACTACAATTACCATAACAAAGATCCCACACTTCAACATTCTGTTTTGCTTCGTCAACTCCATCAACTGTGTCTCAAACACTTGCTTATCTGCTTCCATAGCTTGCTGCAGCTTAACCAACTTCTTTTAAACCTTTGAAACTTCACTAAACTCTTCTTTCCTTTTCAGCTCAAACCTCATCTTGCGAAGCTGTTCTTTGTAGTAACCCTCCTCCATTTCTTTGTCTTTCCACATAAAGAACTTGCATTTCGGACCTTTAGCTGCCTGATTACAAGGGAAAACCAGAGTTAGGGTTAGAGTTGCAATTAATGAAAATGTGTACATCTCCAACTCAAAATAACAAATACTGTGTTAGTAAACAAAATGAATACTCACCAAAGAGTTTTTGCAGTTCCAAAACCTGCGAGCTACATTATCGTCGATCCAGGCAGTCCTTTCCACGCTTATTGCGTCTTGACAATCGTAGGGTGGACAGGGATCATCATCACGAACGTTTCCGACATGCAGGAGCTTGATTAATCGACTAGAAGAGGCAGACATTGTTCTGTTTATATCCATTGAGTGTAGAGTTTCGGAAGGGAGGCACTGACCTAATTTGGGGTAACAATGTATCCTCGATGGTTCAATATAAGGTTCAATTAAGGAAGGTTTACACGTTACAGATGACATGGTCAAATGCTTGTCCACATAAGCGAATCCACGTCAACGATGACCCTTAAACCGGTAGTATTTGCTCACATTCCTTTAATTAGCCGGTAGTTACTAACATTAAGGATTAATTGAGCACAAAAAAAACTTAAATGACTAAATGTGCAAATTGACCAAACATTGATGTGCTACAGTGTCAAAAACCCTATATTATATATCTTAAAAATATCATCCACAAATTCAACTCATACAATCAAATTATCTATCAACAATATCATCCAAGAATTCAATAAATATATGATCAGGTACTTTCTTGTCTATTATTATTATTATTATTATTATTATTTGAAAATTGTATATTATTATTAATTTTAAAATATAGATTTGAAACAATATACATATTATTTCTAGTTGTTATCTTGGTATCAAAGCTAGATTTCGATGTCTATATCTAATGGAAATATAATGTATATATCTAATGAAAATATAAATGAATCTATAGTCATTAATAATGAAGAAAACGAATAAGGATATATATCAGATGCACTCATTAGTAAAGATAATAAATAAATAAAGATGCTATAATAAAAGCAAATTCTATACCATCAGAAAAACATAATTTTAAATATAGGGAAATATGTGGAAAAGCCCCAAAGTTTTGCTTTAATTTATGATCTAGTCATAAATTAATTTTCGTTAATAAAAAGGAAATGTTATCACATATTACACTCACTTTAGCCTTCGAACCGGCAACCCTTCTGTTAGTCGGTTGTCCCAACTGAGTCGAATTTCGAATCATTAAATGAATGATCGTAGTCAACATTTTGCTCTTATAAACGAGCTTTTTGCTCTAAACCCTATTAGACAAAATTTTGCCCAACAATGGCATCTTCAAAATCAGTGGGAAGCAGGAGCAATGTCCGATCAAGAAGGCAAACACTAAGGTCAACATGATTTTGTGAAGACCCCGTTGGTAAGTGTACATCATGGAGGCCAACAAATCCTGGCAGAAGGTTCATCGATTTCCCTAATTTCCCTAATTTTCGGGTAAGTAACCCTTACTCCTTTTTTAATTACATCTCAAATTTCTTCCAATTAGGTTTTATTTTCTATATTTTTTTTGAAACAGCAAACTAACTAATCTACTCCTAAATAACCATCTATGTCTCCACCGAGACTTGAACCTCTGACCTCTCATATGAGATGATCACTCCATACCGCTAGGCCATTGGCCCTTTGGTTTTTATTTCCTATATAACAGGATGAGGAAAACGATTGCAATTATTTTGTTTGGGCGATCCCCCATTACAATTTACCAAACAACTGGTATAGAGGCATGGTGATGGATTTTGATAATGGCATTCAAGTACACAATGATTTTATGGAAGAAGTTGTGGTGGAAGCAGGTGGCAGTGTATGTAATATGGATTAGTAAGTTGTATCTTATGACAACGAAAAAATGGTTTTATGGATACCTATTGTTTAAGCAATGTCCAATTGGATGTGTATGATGCGAGCAAATAAATTATAGACTTGCATGATTTGAACAAAAGAACATAACCGAAAGATGCATAAACGGATGTTTTTAACATAACATAATGACTAAAATGGATATAACTTATGCATCACCAAAACATGTATAATTTACCAAATTTTGTATATTGTTTACAAACGAAAGGGCATAGTAACAAATTTATCAAAAAGGGTTTTCAAACAAAATTTTCCCAAATAGCCCATATAATGGCTTAAATCCTAACAATTATACTCTAAAGTAAGAGGTTTTTCTAGAGCCATTCCTATTCCTTTCTTATCCACCACAATTTTCTTCAACATGTTCTCAGTGATCCTTTCAGAAGGTTTTCTAGTTCTAACCTTAACTTGCTTATCATCAACTCCATCTTCATCATCTTCCTCCTCACGAGTTTTATTAATTCCATCATCTCCATCTTTATCATTGTCCTCATGTGTTTCATCAACTCCATGTTCATCAACGTTGTCCTCTTGTGCTTCATTAACTCTATTTGGTATCGGCTAAGATTCTGGTACATGTTGACTCTCAAAAGGCACATCCTTGCATGGGAAAAAGATACAAGTTAGTTATATACCTTTGGAACTTGTTTGGATTGTTGAAACAAAGAAACAAACTCTTTAAATTGTGTTTGGGTGATAATAAGACGGAAAATGATCTCTTTTTCATTGTATTTTGATTCTCTCGAGTAACTCAAATCATGCAGTATTTGATCCATATCATCTATATCAAGACCATCATCTTCAACCTCAATCTCAACATCTATTTGTGGAAAACCTTCATCGTCAACAGTAGGTGCTATTTAGGAATACTTTCACTCTCAACATTAGGTGTTGTTTGGGGGAAAATCCACTCTCAACCCCAGCTCTTTTTTTTGGGTATAGTAGAATTTTCATCTTCCTTATAAACACAATTAGGCCCTCTTCCACTACCTCTATTAGGCCCTCTTCCACCACCTCTTCTGCTTCCACTACAATCCCTTTTAGATCCTCTCCCACCTCTTATGAAATTGGTCAATTATGGATTCAACCTTGGCCTTCCAATCTTCTTCGTAGGCTTTGGTGAGGGTTTAACTGAGTGATTCTAGCAAGATAATTTATTGTGTCCCCTTTACATAAAATTCTAACATTGGACACTTATGCCTTTGGAGGAGACTTGGGAGAACCTATCTTCATGCTCAGAAACATGATTTTTCCTTTTCATACTAGGCCTTCCTGGCATCTTTCTATTAATAGGTGGTAGTGGTTTGGTGTAAGGTGTTGATTCCCACATATTACTACCATTAAACAGGAAGAATGTTAGACCCATAAGTAGCTAAAAACTTATCCTTACCAAACCATGCGTCGATGAATCTAGTTGGATCTTGTTGTGTGTATATTATGGTTGCTTGGGCATGGATACAGGGTATCCCATATAACACCCAAAGTCTGCATGTACAATACATACCCTCTAAGTGAACTCCATATGAGTATAATCTGTTTTTGACTTCATAAGAATTCCTACCACTTGGATGAACATACCAACTCCTACAAATACAATAATTATTTTAATAGGTCATGGACACACATTATTCACTTATTTTTGTTCAGTTTTCTTCAAAGTAAAGAACATTCCCATCATATATAATCTAATGTACTCAAACATGGCCAACAATGCCTTCTTTCTGGCATCAAGTATGTTGGCATCAAGTATATAATCTAATGTGTAGGCCATTCCACCTTTATAGAATACCCTACACCAATATTTAGGCTCCCTTGCATTCAAATGATCATAAGTAGCAGGATTGACTTCTCTGATCGTCTTTATATTCAACTTGAAATCTCCCTCAACAATTGACTTGGCAACTGTCCAAAACATGTTCTTGAACTCTATACCACTAATTTCTATTTTTCATACATATATCTTGCACATTGTCTGTGCTCCACATGTGGTAGTACACCATTTGCAGATTCCAAAAGACCCTACCAATTACATTAAAACCTTTCATTAGTAACAAGTTGATACATGTATAAATGAAATTATAATTAAAGCTAATTCAAGATATTTCCTTGTGTTGATTAGATATAAAACACAAATCCAAGCCTCCTTGTAATTCTAGGTCAGCATGTAATAGTTCCAATCCATATTGAATCAGCTCAAGGAAATATTACTATTCCTATAATAAACTAACAATAATTAAGAAATAGAATACAACATATTAAAGAATTGGATCGGTAAAATAATAGCATATATTCATATATCTACAATTCTAAGTTATTCTAAAAAGTACATTTAGCGACTTAGATTTACTTGTAGAACTAGAAATTAGAGATGATCGAATAATTAAAGATCAAGAAAGTATTATTAGCAAGGGAAAAGGAAATATAATAGAAGGAAAAATAAAATTTAATATAAATATTCAACTAGGATTAAGTTTAAAAGATAAAAATTTGAGTAATAGTATTACACTAAGATATAAATTATTAAGACAAGATTTAATGATAAAGTGCATTCACCCTTTCACTATAACATATCAAATAAATTACGCATTAACAAACTCTCATCATAGTATTACTTATAAAATAGAGGATAAAATTCATATTTGATAAATTATTTGAACCATTACTCTCACTTGAATCACCAAAATTAGAATATAATAGATTATTTAATGAAGCAAATTATCAAAATACAATAAATACACCATTAATTAAAAGAGATCATATTACATACATAGAACCACAAATCTCAACATTGAAAGGACGATCATTGATAGAATATCAACCTTCAACTTCTACTGAAACATGAAACGTCCAAAAAAGACCAATAAAAAATTTCATCTTGAAATTATCAAATCAATACAAACATTTTTTCCAAAATCAATCATGGTAAAATGTATCTCAAAAATCAGAGTAAAATAAAAATAATCAGTGCACAAAAATCATTAGGGGATGTTGTGCAGTTAAGTCAAAATATTCCTTTTAGAAATGGAAGTACCTGAAAATGTTTAAACCACAAAATTGTAAGCATAAAAGCTTAGTGAGTTCCCTAAAATACCAAATACCATGCATATCAGTGGGTCCAACCTTAGGGGTGTATTTCAACCCTATATGAATGTTATGATCCAACCATAGTCTTACAATCACTTCCATACTACAGCCCAAATGTTGCCTTTCTGCCATGATCCAACCATGATATTCCATGTAAGTCAGAAAGACAAACAAGTGTTGTGATCCAACCACATTCTTTCATACATGTGTTGTGATCCAACCACAATCTTTCATGAAATAGTCACAAAAAAACTAGCAACCTACATAGTATAGTGAGAAGACTCACCTCAATCTACAGACAAGACAATCATACACCTGAGTTGATGATACTGAAATTCCTCACACAAAAAATATACATAAGAAAACCCTAATTAATAATTAAGGTAATAACTTACACTCAAAGGGCCTTGGTTCATAGCTAAACATTCATATGACAAAAGAATATTTTGCCATTCCAAGGCTAAAACCCAACCCAGTTAACCAAAAGTCAAATTGGTCAAAAACTCACCTGCTCGGTGCTATGCTCAACATAATACACTACTTTATGCTCAACGTAGAGCTTCAGATGAAAAACAAGGGAATTCCATGCTACGCTAAGCGTAGAGAAAGCTACACTCAATGTAGCTCCGCTTATGTCCCAACTTTTTATTAAGCTCTTAATACAAAAGGACAACTTCCCAACTCTCATATTTGAATCTAAAGGATGTCTTAATGGGTAAAGTATCTGACTTTATCCCTTTGCATGGCCAAATAAATCACAAAACCAAAACCTAAGTCAAAAATACCACCTTTTGCTCAGGAACTCATACATTGATGGATGAGAGTGGAAAAACTCTAATTTTTATGGCTTAATAACCCCAAAAACATCTAGAACTAGCACTTAAATGGTCCGGAGTAGCTCATACTCACATATACCAAGGTTATGGGGACAAAAACATAGAAATATTAAAAGAAACTAGATCCAACATGAATAATCATCAAGATAGAAATTTTATACCTTCTGGAGGTGGATTATGAGATGCAAAACCTACAAATATTGCAGCTCCTAAGTGCTTTTCTAATGAATTCTTCATTCTAAGATGTACACAAGAACACAATAAGGCCTAAAAACTCCCACAAGATGGCTAATGTTTTGAGGTGATTGATTAAGAGGGTGGAGGATAAGGATGGAGATAGTCTCAAGGAGTTAGAGCCTTTAAATAGGGCTCACAACCCCCAAGAATTATGGTTTTGGTGCAATGCACCTATGCTCAGTGTAGCTAAACCTACGCTCAAAGTAGGTCATTAAACTACCACATAAGATCTTCCACCCGTGCTCAAGGTAGGGGATATCATATTCTCAATGTAGGACATCAAAAATACAAAAATAACAATTTAATCTTTAAAGAATTATACCTGAAGATACAGGTGTTACAACTCCCCACCTCCCACTTGAAACACACTTCTTCCTCAATATCCGATGCAGAAAATAACTCCAGGTAATGCTCCTGCATCTCCTCCTCGGGTTCCCATGTCCACTCTGAATCCTTCTAGTGCTTCCATTGCACCTCCACCAAGCCCACCACCTCGTTGAAAAAGGTCTTCATCTTCATTTCAAGGATCTCAATCGGTATCTCTATGTAATTTGGGTGATCATCAACCTAAACGTCTTCCAAGAGCATAATTACATAATCATCATCCAAAAATTTCTATAATTGAGAGACATGAAATGTGTTGTGGATCTGACTAAGCTCATCAGACAGGTGCAACCAATACACAACCTTTCTCACCCAGGAGATAATCCTAAAGGACCAATGTATATGGGGCCCAAATTTCTCTTCTTCCGGAACCAGATGAAGCATTTCCAAGAGGACACCTTCAGAAGCACAAAATCTACAACCTGAAACTCGAGGTACGAAAGTCTCCGGTCAGCATAAGTCATTTGGCGACTCTATACGGTCTGTAACCGATCGCACATATGTTGTATCAACTCGGTAGTCTTGAGCACTACCTTAGTACTTGTCACACCCTAAAATCGGAATGGCAGAAACGTTCTGGGGCGGAGGACGTCATGTACAATATCATAACAATGCAAAGTAGTAAATAAGCAACAACATCATCCATTGCATTAATAGTATAATTTCATACAAGTATGTTCTTTAAAAGTAATAAGACACCAAAAATGAATAATCAAAATAAAAGACGAGTATTGAACATGCTCCGTCTTCTCAAAACCTGGTCATCGATACCAGTGTACTAGTCACCTGAGAATACAAGTTATTTTGAAAGCGTAGATCAACATTTAAGCTGGTGAGTTCATAAGTATTTAGTGTCAATGTTTGTATAAGTTTGATGAAAATGTTTGTAAATGTTCAATGTAAATGTTTCTATATGTTTGAAAACTCCTAAAAAATCTTATATTTTCTACTAGTATAAAAAGTAGTCTTCTACCAAGACCCGACTGTTTTGTATGTTTGTTTCTCTGTAAAAGTGGATGCTTTTCCCAAATACGACTATCATTACCAAAAATATAGTTTTATATTACCCTTTTATGTGAGAAGATCACAATTTGAATATAATGCGAGATTACAATTTGAATATAATAAATATAGTTTTATATTACCCTTTTATGTGAGAAGATCACAATTTGAATATAATGTATATGTACTGCAATATTATTTGTATTAACTACTGAAGTAAAACTAGCTTAAAACCAATGGTTTAATTAAGGCAAAATGTGATATGATTGTTACCATACTAAACTGACTATAACACGACGACGAAAGATGTCGTAAGAAATGACATTTGGCACCTGTAGACTTGCAAGTCCCACTGTAGCGAACAATAAGGTGTAGGATAGTCAATCCAGTATAGATCTATACGCAAACTCACGCTCTCCCTCCAGGAGATTCTGGTTACAAAACGTGATATAGCGAAATGGTCGATGTGTCATGAAGTAGTATCTCACATTATGTTATCTCTGAATCTTGTTATATTATACTTTTTGTAGTAATAGTATTCTATGTATAGTATTCTCTATATAGTATCCTTTGTATAGTATTCTCTGTCTAGTATTCTCTATTATAGTATTCCCTGTTATAGTATTATCTGTTATAGTATTCTCTGTTATAATATTTGTATATGATAGTATTCTCCTAAACTATACCTATTATAGTTTACTAGTGATTTCTGTAGTTGAATAAATGACTGAATGCATACCTTTGCTACCCAAAGGTACTGAACTGATTGATAGTACTTTTATATCTATGTATGTATACATAATATACATATAATATTTAAACGACCTTCGGACATATAACCGGTACCCTAAGTCCACATCCAAACAAGGAAAAGGAAATAAGGCGGGTTAGCAGTCCTAAGTCCTTAAAACACTATTTATATAACTATACATATATAGACATGCTTTTGACAATATATAAGTTTAAAAGAGGTTTTGTAATACATTTAAAGAGTTTAACAATAAATATTAATGACTTGATGTCAATTTATAAAACGATTTAAAAGCCGTTTGTTTGATAACACAGTTTTAAAGTATAAGAAATCCTTTGTTTGAAACACAATTTGAAGTATATGAAATCCTTTGTTTGAAACATAGTTATAAATCACATGTGATTGATTATATAAATAACATGTTTTCTACTTGTATTCCCCCCATAAAAGCATTTAAAATTACTTAAAAGATAAGTTAAGGGGTATGAACTCACCTGTAGTGAGTGGTTTGGATGGAAGTGTTCGATAGGATGCTAAGTGTCAAGTGAAGACTTGAGCACACACACGGATCCTATTTAACATATAATGACACATATATGTATCTAATTAGTGATTTAACAA